TTTATTGTTGTAACTTTTTGTGTTTTTAACTATTTTATTGTTTTTAATTACTTGTGTGATTTTTATGTTTTTAAATTACTTATGTGATTTTAATGCTTTTTAATTACATATGTGTTTTTAATTGTATTTTAATGGTGATGATTTGTGCATTGTGTGGTGTGGACTGTGAGGCGCTTTGTGTTGCCCTGTGCAGGAAAAGCGCCCTATAAATAAAGATTGATTGATTGATTGATTGATATCACAAAACCTCTTATAGAATTCTGCACATTACCCATCGGGCCCAGCAGCCTTACCCGATGGAAATGACTTTATGGCATTAATGACTTCTTGCAGAGTAAACTCCGAATCGAGATATTTTGTGGCATCATCACTCAATTTAGGCAATGATATAGTGTCAAAAAAATCATTTAGATTGGATTGTGAAATATTGTTTTTTGAAGAGTAAAACTCAGCATAGAATTCACTGAAACAATGGTTTATCTCAGCAGGATTGGTTAGAATAGTGCCCGTTTTGGACTTAATACCACGAATTGCTCTTGAAGCTTGGGCACCTTTAAGTTGTTGTGCTAGGAGTTTGCTGGGTTTATCTCCAAGCTCAAATTGTTTCTGCCTCAATTTCAAAAGTAGATTCTTAACTTGGCTGCTCATGATACTATTGTATTCATATTTGAGCTTCAATATCTCTTTATAATGATCCGGTGATTTAGAATTTTGGTAAATTCTTTCCAAAGCAGGAAGAGTGTTGTTAATTTCACAAAGTCTCATCTCGCTTTTTTTTTTAATGGCTGAGGTGTAAGAGATTATATCACCACGCAAAACTACTTTTAATGTTTCCCACAGGGTTGAATCAGACACTTCACCATTATCATTTAGTTCTATGAAGTTCTTCAATTTAGAAGTTGTATTCTTAATAAAGTTGTCATCACTGAGAAGGTTTGGATTAAAAAGGGGCTGTGGTCAGAAATCAAAATATTATGATATTTGGAATTTGTGATCTGAGAAATAAGGTTAGAGCTAGTCAAAAAATAATCAATCCTACTGTATGATGTGTGGACATTTGAGTAGAATGAATACTCTTTGTTTGTAGGATGCTGAATCCTCCAAATATCAACTAAATTTCTAGTTCTTAAAAGGTTGTTTAGAAGTTTTACAGATGCAATTTCTGGTGCCGAACGTGTAGATAACCTATCCATGAAAGGATCTAGATAGCAGTTAAAATCTCCGGCTATTATTATGTTGGAGTCACTATTGTCTGGAAGCAGATCAAAAACCTTCCTGAAAAAATTGGGATCATCTGTGTTCGGACCATAGATATTAAGCAGGGTTAATGAAAATGAATTTATAGTACCAGAAACCAATATGTATCTACCATAAGGGTCATTGTTAACAGCAGTTACTTGAAACGGAATATTATTTCGAATCAATATTGCTACACCACGAGCAGGTAAATGGCGACTGATATATCTGAGATATCCAATTACACTTCAATCTATGCTGCATGGCTGTTTTTATATCCGTCTCTTGCAAAAAGATTATATCAGCAGAAAGAGATTTCAGATGTTTAAAAACTTTACCCCTTTTGACTGCACTACCAAGCCCTTTTACGATCCAGGATATCAGTTGTAACTCTTTTCCTCCCACATCCATTTTACCATGTGCTTGAGTCCTCTTGAAAAAAATAGAAAAAATACAATATCTGTTGCAATACCAAATACAAACAACAAGTAACACATGTGCATCTGAGCCAAACAAGAACAACACAGACCCACCCCTCCCTCACCTCCGCGTCCCCTGAACCTGACGCGTATCTTCCCCTCCTTGCCATAACGGGAGCTGCTGGACAAATAGTAGGCTCAACCCGAACAGCGCCCCCCACCACAACTTGAGTATTAGAAAGAAAATTGAAAGCTACGTTACATCTCGGAAAAACAAAATGAAATGCGGCTGTTGGAAAATTGTCCTGCGTTTCAACACATTTATTGTCATGGGCCTGAAGAATCTATTAACACGCAGTTTAAAAAAAAAGAAAATTCAACAGTGTGCCGCATTTCACATAGAATGACGAAAATGCTCACCTTGAAAGAACAAAAAAAGTAAAAAAGGTCATCTCCTTCTTTAACCATCTGTCGAAGCGTCACGTTCCGTGCGTAAACGAGCCGCCTCAGCTACCGCTGGATCTTTAAAGACCTCCGGGGTACCCTCCTCTCCATCCCAGTAAACATGAAGCCTGGCCGGGTAGCGTAAGTGATGCTTAACTCCTCCATCTCTCAGGGCTTTCATCACGTCTCGGAATGCACGGCGCTGGCTCATCATTTCGTTGGTATAATCCGGGAAGATCAAAACTTTGTTGCCTTTATACACCATTGGCTGCGTCCTACTCAGGCGTAGAATCAGCTCCTTCACCTGAAAATGATGAATGCAAGCCATGATGGTGCGTGGCTTGTCACCCGCCGCTGGTTTAGGTTGCAGTGAGAGATGCGCACGGTCGACTTTTAATGGAGAGGGAAAGTTTCGTTCCCCCAGCAGTTCAGGAATAAGTTTGGAAACAAAGTCAGTCGGGTTTCCTTTTTCTGAGTCTTCCTTTATACCGACAATCTTGATGTTATGTCTGCGAGACCGTGCTTCTAAATCCAGTAGTTTGGTTTGGAGCTGGCTGGCGTACCTCGATAAATCTTCATACTTGGCTTCGAGCACTTCCACACGCTCGTCAAGTGCGCTGGTAGCTTGCTCCTGACTGACCATGCGGTTCTGCAGGTCAGCTTGTATGGAGGACACAGACTGTAACTTGGTGTCGAAGGCATCAAAGCGCTCGTCGAGTCTCTCCAAAATCTTCTCTGACATTTCCTTACACATTTCTTTGCACATTTCGTACATGTGGGACTTGTCATGTGAAGTGGCGGACGGAGGCTTAGCAGAGGGCTCGCTAGCATTAGCCCCACTAGCATTGGCATTGCTGACGAATCCATCGAGGGTCTTGGGCTTTCCAGGAGGGTTTCTTTGCGGCGACATTTTCAAATTGGCGAAGTTCAACAGAAGAGATAGGCGAGTGACCAATAAAATACCAGGTCTTGAACAATTTTCTAGTGATTTTAGATGATTTGCACGAGTTGCGGTGGAGAGCACAAGCTAGACAGGTCTACATCCCACGCATGCGCACTGGCGCTCCTCAACAGAAAGTGTATTTAAATAAAATAATGCCAAAAACTATTGATTTGTGAAAATGCAATAATTGATCCATACTCGTTGATCAGATAAGAACCGTGCACAGGTCAATCCCTACACTGTGGCTCTCAGTAGTTTGTCTAAATAAATACATAAGTAAAATAACAGCTGTGTGTATGTGAGCTCCTTCTTCCACACTAAGATGCTAATGTCTCTGTATTGATCCTGGAATGAGGCAGTCGTCCCACGCACACTCATCAATACCATTCATTATGGAACAATTGGCTCCAAACTCCAAACAGCGCAGGAGCCACTATAAAACAGACAGGGAAATGTGTTCAGCTTCTATAAGGATCACTTCACACCCAATGGAGGAGAGTTTGGTCAACAAAGAGTCTGTAGTTTAGTGTCTCATGCATTTACAATGAGCTTTTCACTTTTAAAGTAGGAACATGGATTCAAAGTCTCTTATAACAATGTATTAGTTTCATCTTTAATTTGATTTCAATTCAATTCATTCTTGTTTCGCCCTAAATCACTAAAGTAGTTATCTCGGAGGACTTTACAAAGTTGTCGATTCTCCAAAACAGATCAGAGAATCATGCGTGACCATACCTGGAGGATTCATACAACCCTTTAGCCAAAAACCTCATTGACTGTTCTCTGATCACTTCACTTGGATGTAAATCCCACTTTATCGAAAGAATCATGTTTTATGAAAATGAAGTGCCCCAACGTTCTTTCCTGATCCTAGTCACATATTGTTTTCAAACCTCCGATACTGGGTTAGGGTTAGGGTTAGATTCTAGTGAGTCTCCAGAAGCTTCTGCTCTCCAGCTTCACTGCACATGCAACACTTTTTATTAGAAAACATGTAGTTATTTACACACTAAGAGCTGAGTGACTGAGTGAGTCCACTCTTTTTCACATATATATATATATATATATATATATATATATATATATATATATATAATATACAATTATATACTGTATGTGTGTGTGTGATGGCTCCAGAAGTGAACCTGTTAAAATATTCTGAAACTTTAAATGAACAAATCATGGCTGTACACAGATTCTTGTTTGTTTGTCAGAAAGAAGGAGGTAAGTTTGAGCACAAGAACACGAGAAGAATGAAACGCACAAAAGCTTCCAGTGATTTGAATAAGATGTAATGGAACAAAACAGTGCTTTCCCAGAAGTCATTACCATTACCTTTGTGTCTGTATCACCGCTGTGTCAAAATGCCTTTGTACGCAAAGCAGCGACACACCCATCCACTGTTAGAAACACATCTATTCACTAAACTTGACACGGTGACATTATGAGCTAAATTATATCCAAAAATCTCCAGAAAACAGACATTGCTCTTCATTACCTTGTGCCTTTCTCTTTGCTTTTGTGTGACCTTATCAAACCTTAATTTAAGAAAAGTCCTGTCTCTCGCTCTGATTATACTTTTGTAACTACAGCTCAATCCAATTAAGTTCTGAGCCAGAGCACAAACGCAGCGTATGCAGAGATATTGGCCTTTGACAAATCGCAGGTGACACTCTGGTCATCAGTTTTGGCTTCTCTTGGGGTGGTGGAGAAGGTCATGTTTTGCAAGAAAATTATTAAACCAGGAAGCAACTTTTACGATTAGGAGGAATACATTGAGAAAATCCCACAATTCAAGTGTTGATGAATGTCCATAAATTTACAGTTTTATATACAAAAATATTTTTGTGAAAGGGATGAGAGGAGATCCGCGTTCCTATTTGAGCTCCAAACAAGATCATGAACTAACCCAATGGAAGGGACCGAACGACTGGTTTTTTGCATGAATGTGATTCCAAATGGCCAAACCAGACAGTGCTGAGAAGAGTGAGTACTTTGGCTGATTGAAGTCCAAAACTGTCATGATTCCTTGACATTTTCTTCCACATTGCCGGGTCGCAGGGTTCTTCCAGCTCCTGGAATCCTGACGTGTTCCCAGGGCAGCTGAGTGGCCTTGGTCCTCGTTTTGTTGCCTCAGTCCTGGATCTACAGCCGTCCGTATGTGGGAGCGTATCCCTCTCCACTGTGGATCTCCCGGACGTTTCTCACCTTTTCCCACTGGGTTTTAGAGTAGTTCCTCTGATGCAGGAGTCTGTTGGACTGTGGTGATGATCCAGGACACACATGTATGGACAGTGGTCATCTGCCCTTTGTGGACCGTAAGAGGCTTAACTGTTGGTTCTCTGATGTGTGTTGTGGAATTCAACTGTTTTGTAAAGAATACAAAAGGGGCGACAGTAGCTCAGTTGGTAGAGCATTGGCCTTAAGGCCTGAAGGTCGTGGGTTCAATTCCCACCTCTACACCTTCTCCACCGACTCCCACTGATGACCGCTGTCGTTGTGTCCTTGGGCAAGACACTTAACCCCACTTTGCCCAAAGCCCCCACTGAAAGATCAAGGCTATGCTCTCACTCAGAGAGCAGCCGTCCTCCTGTGGACTCACCACCTGCAGAGGGTCAGTGAGGGGCTGGTACTATGTGACTTGGGTGGCATCTCTGATTACCACCCCCCTGACCCAGAAATGGATTAAAGGGTAGAAAATGGATGGATGGAGAGGCATCCGAAAAAAAAATTCTTTATTGCTTCTAATAGTTTACCATCTGTTGTGGAGCTGGTAGATAGGAGCAGTAAGGAGGTCCTGCAGCTCTGCGGGCATGTATTATCAGTGCATCCACTGATAATACATGCCCGTCCTATAGAGGGCGATGTCCTGGTTTTCCCTGGTTCTGCTCCCGGTGAGACATGTCCGGTTCTGGTCCCGGTGAGACCGGAACACCTCACATTAAGTTGTCCAGGACGCATCCCAAACAGATGCCCGAGCCACCTCAACTGGCTCCTCTCGATGTGAAGAAGCAGCGGCTCTACTCCGAGCTCTTCGGTTCTTCCAGCTCCTGGAATGTCAGCCAAAGTACTCACTCTTCTCAGTCCTCTATCCACTCTGGAGGAAACTCCTTTGAAGTTTATCTGAGATCTCATCGACAGTAGCTCAGTTGTCTACTGAGATCTTCCGCACTTTGCCTGAAGCCCCTGCTGGAAGATCTCAGCTCCTGTGGACTCAGCGCCTGCCGGAGGATCAGTGGGGGGCTGGTGCTCTCTGTGCTGGGTGCAGCTCTGGTTGCCACCCCCCGACCCAGAAATTGATTAAAGGGATGAAAATGGATGGATGGATGGACTGAGAGCTCTTCGAACTTAGATTGAGCAGTAAATCCAGAGCTTTGCCTTCAGACTCAGCTCCCTCTTCCCCACAACATTTCAATACAGCTCTGACTGCAGACGCTGCTCCTTCTATATCACAACAGTGTGACACAACTCTGACTGCAGACGCTGCTCCTTCTATATTACAACAGTGTGACACAGCTCTGACTGCAGACGCTGCTCCTTCTATATCACAACACACGCTGCACACGCTCCATACTTCTCTCACTGTCATAATAACCAACTGTAAACAATATGTATCATCTGCATTCACTATAATCCGGACTATCTCACTCTGTGCCACAACCAGCCCCCGAGATTCAATACATCTCTGAACTCGACCATGTTTTATTGATCCGAAAACCAGTCGATGCTCACCTTTTCGGCCCTAACAGGATTACCGACATGACGCGTTCTGGCAGCACAACGTGTGGCAGCTTCCGTTTCTCCGAAGCAAACTTTTATGACAAGAGAAATCTGTCAGAAAACAAGTGCACGTTGCTCAGTAAGCCATGATTCTAATTGCCCTTTGAACACGAGGAGAGGGTTTATGGAAAAGAGCTGAAATATGTCAAGTGAGCTGGAGAATGTCACCGTTTTTAATATTGTAATCCTGAACTGTGCCAATTTCGTAATTACATTGTTTCGGCTCATTTAAACTGTAATTATTCCACCGAGAGCTTCAGGAGAGAAAGGAGACATGAGGCGGTTGGAGGTGGTTGAGAGAGCAGCCGAACGCGCCGCTGCCTCCTGCCCTTTGGAAGACATTTGCAACATGTTCAAAGTGAGAATGTTCCACAGACAGACAGTGATCTGCGCAGACACAGTCCATTTTAATCCATGTTGAAGGTTAAGTTTTACATCTACCTGAAGAACAACGTCCTGGACGTTTTGACAAAAAGCAATAACTTGTGCTGTAACAATGTCAATCGATAATTATTCTTCCGCTTCATCTGTTGCCATCAGTCTAAGTGGAGACGCTCAGACTTCCCCCTCCCCAGACACTTCCTCCAGCTCATCCAGGGGGACCCCAAGGTGTTCCCAGCTGAGAGATCTAGTCGCTCTGTGTCCTGGGTCTTCCCCAGAACAGATGAGCCACCTCAGCTGGTTTCTCTCGACATGGAGAATCAGCAGATCTACACCGAGCTCCCCCCGTGTAACTTACCTCACCCTATCTTTAAAGGACAACTCACCCTCAAATCCACTTTTTTTTGCTGATAAACGGTATAAATGAGTGTCCAATAGTGTTGTCTACATATCCTGGTCATAATCTTGTCACTTTGGTGCAAATTAGTTGAAAGTTAAACTTTCTGCCTAAAACCGCCTGTGAGGCGCCATCTGCTGGCGACCTGTATTACTACATTTGAATTTTGAATCTGGCGCCAACACTGGCACAGAAGTTGGACCTGACGTCTGCAAGTTGGACCTGACGTCAGCAGCCCCCCGCCCAGAGCAATGTAAACGGCCCAGTCTCGTTCACGCCCCCTTTAGTCCTCCAGGCTACGCCCATTTAGAGGAAGATTTGAACAGGAAATGTGAGTAACGTAAGCTCCGAGGAGCGGGGGTGAGAACCACTTTAAGGGAGCAGCGGCTCTGTGGAGAAAGCTCATTTTGACGCTTGTATCCGCGATCTCGTTCTTTCGGTCATTACTCAGAGATCATGACCAGAGGTGAAACTCTGACTGCAGACGCTGCTCCCTTTTCACCACAATGGTCCGATACAGCTCTGACTGCAGACGCTGCTCCCTCTTCACCACAACGGTCCGATACAGCTCTGATTGCAGACGCTGCTCCCTCTTCACCACAATGGTCCGATACAGCTCTGATTGCAGACGCTGCTCCCTCTTCACCACAACGGTCCAATACAACTCTGACTGCAGACGCTGCTCCCTCTTCCCCACAACGGTCCGATACCGCTCTGATGCAGACGCTGCTCCCTCTTTACCACAACAGTCCGATACAGCTCTGACTGCAGACACTGCTCCCTCTTCACCACAAACGGTCCAATACAACTCTGACTGCAGACGCTGCTCCCTCTTTACCACAATGGTCCGATACAGCTCTGACTGCAGACGCTGCTCCCTCTTTACCACAACAGTCCGATACAGCTCTGACTGCAGACACTGCTCCCTCTTCACCACAATGGTCCGATACAGCTCTGACTGCAGACGCTGCTCCCTCTTCACCACAATGGTCCGAGACAGCTCTGACTGCAGACGCTGCTCCCTCTTCACCACAATGGTCCGAGACAGCTCTGACTGCAGACGCTGCTCCCTCTTCACCACAATGGTCCGAGACAGCTCTGACTGCAGACGCTGCTCCCTCTTCACCACAATGGTCCGATACAGCGACCGCATCACTGCGCACGCTGCACCGATCCGCCTGTCAATCTCACGCTCCATCCTTCATTGAGAACAAGACCCCGAGATACTTGAACTCCTTCACTTGAGGAAGGACCACTCCACCTGGATCAGGACCTGGAGAGGACCGGGACCTGGATATTACCAGGAGAGGACCGGGACCTGGATATTACCAGGAGAGGACCAGGAGAGGACCAGGAGAGGTCCAGGACCTGGAGAGGACCAGGATCAGGGCAAGGGCAAGGCACTTTTTCCTGGTCTCAGATCTGGGGCCGATCTTCAGCAGCTTCACTCTCAGCTTCGAACTGTCCCAAAGTTCGGGTCCTGGTTCGTTGGAGCCACAACATCGTCTGAAACAATAGAGATGAAATCCCGTGGTCTCTGAACCGGACCCCTTCCGGCCCCTGGCTGTGGTCTCTGAACTGGACCCCTCTGGCCCCTGGCTGTGGTGTCTGAACCGGACCCCCTCCGGCCCCTGGCTGTGGTCTCTGAACTGGACCCCCTCCGGCCCCTGGCTGTGGTCTCTGAACCGGACCCCCTCCGGCCCCTGGCTGTGGTGTCTGAACCGGACCCCCTCCGGCCCCTGGCTGTGGTGTCTGAACCGGACCCCCTCCGGCCCCTGGCTGTGGTGTCTGAACCGGACCCCCTCCGGCCCCTGGCTGTGGTGTCTGAACCGGACCCCCTCCGGCCCCTGGCTGTGGTGTCTGAACTGGACCCCCTCCGGCCCCTGGCTGTGGTCTCTGAACCGGACCCCCTCCGGCCCCTGGCTGTGGTGTCTGAACCGGACCCCCTCCGGCCCCTGGCTGTGGTGTCTGAACCGGACCCCCTCCGGCCCCTGGCTGTGGCGTCTGAACCGGAAAGGGGATTTAACCGCCATGGAAAGTTGGTTACATACAAGTAAAAATCCTCACATTTAAAAAAATAAAAGATAATTTAATTAAATAATTACACAAAATAAAATACAAAGTCATAGAACTATGAAGACCAAAACTAATTAGAGTAATTATGCTTTAAATACTAAAAGCTGTCAAATAAACTGCTCTGGGAGTTGAAGTGTTAGACAGTGTAATAAGGTTTGATAATCTTCTGTGACTAATCATTTCAAACGATAAAACACATAATACATCTCTTTTTGTTCTCGCTCTTCGACTTTTGAGACACATCCACAATGTCGCACTTTCCACATCAGCATCAAAGCTGTACTTTTGTCACTTCACACTTGAAATGAAAAAGGCCACAACTCCTTCATCTAAGGACATCGGACACTTTCCATCCCGCCGTCTGTAGAGACCTGCCGCAGATCTATAGCTGGATTGACTCTTGACTTCACGGATCAATGTCGGCCGCGTGCCTCATCTGGATGTATGCTAATGCTAAGTTAGCGCCTGCTCTGTGGCCGTCTCTGGAGAAGACTCCACACAAACTCAACACAATCACATTCACCTGTTCACTCTGTTGATTTAATAAACATTGATTTGAAGTCTACACAAACACACACGCACGCACGCACACACACACACACACACACTGTTATGGTCAAATTTAGAATGATCCGAGGCAAACAAGTGTCTTTGTGTGATTTAATAAAGTCATGAAATACATACATGATAATTGCATAAAGTGAATCCAAGTTGTGGAGAAGAGCTCAGCCAGACCTCCGAGGAGGCCCGCTAAACTCTTCTGCCCAGAACAAAGCCCCAGTCTTCAGTTTTCCCAGACTTGGGAAGGGTGAAAGGAGAGAGAGTTATCTAATTTATGAGCCTCCTCCACACTCCTGGTTTCTTATCCGTGGACTGGCACCAGTGTCTCTGTGTTGAGTTTCAGTTTCAGAGTATTTCTACCATTTCTTATGTTATTTATATGATTTATTGTAATTTTCCACTACAACACACACAAACATATTTTATATCGCACTAACATTTCACAGTGTTAAGGGGCGACAGTAGCTCAGTTGGTAAAGCATGGGCCTTTGGGCCTGAAGGTCATGGGGTCAAGCCCACCATAAGACCTACTTCACGACTCCCACTGATGTCTGCTGTTGTTGTGTCCTTGGGCAAGACACTAAACCCCACTTTGCCTGGTGCTCTGTGGACTGGGTGCAGCTCTGACTGCCACCCCCCCAACCCAGAAATGGATTAAGGGGAAGAAAACGGATGAATGGATGGATGTCACAGTGTAATTTTGTGAGAGGCCATGCAGAGTCCATCACATCCATCACAATAACATTTAAAGTTTGAACCCTATATCTGTAAAAAGCTTCAGACCATCCGTAACAATCACAGTCTCAGCCTGTATCTGCTTCCATGTAAACAGACGGTTCAAAGTTACCCACACACGTCACACTGACACATCTGCCCCACTGCAAAAAATCAAATATGAAGTAATAATTGCTCGAATAGGGTGGTTTTTATTTTAATCTGACTGTCCTAAAACAAAGATTTGACAAAGCCATTTATTAATATTTAAACTGTTGCTTTATTTCCTCATTCATTTCCTGTATCTTTCTAAAAGGACATCTTTTTGCTTTTCCCCATTGGCAAATCTAGTTTGAAGGCAGTCAGAATGTGCTCAAAATAAAACACATTTTGAGCAATTTTTGACTTATTTTTCATCACTTTTTGCAGTGTGGCCCGGCTTCCCCCCTGTCTCCCCCCTGTCTCCCCCCGGCCTCCCCCCTGTCTCCCCCCGGACTCCCCCTGTCTTCCCTCCATCCTTCTCCTCTTCATCCCCCCTGTCTCCCCCGGCCTCCCCCTGTCTTCCCTCCATCTTTCTCCTCTTCATCCCCCCTGTCTCCCCCGGCCTCCCCCCTGTCTCCCCCCGGCCTCCCCCTGTCTTCCCTCCATCCTTCTCCTCTTCATCCCCCCTGTCTCGCCCGGCTCCCCCCGGCCTCCCCCTGTCTCCCCCCGTCTCCCCCCGGGCCTCTCCCTCTTCATCTTGGTGTTTAGTGCTGTAATTAGAGTGGACAGATTACGAGCGCGCCTTCTCGCTCCCCTGTCACACACTTCCCCACACGCGTCACTTCACATTATTTATAAAGTGCAATTTAATCCCTAAAAGCAGAATGATATTTGCATGATATCATTAATCTTTTTGCAGAGCCGTGCCGTACCGACGCATGGCACTCGGCGAAAGGCAAATATGTCTAGACTGGCAGCCTCAACCTTTCTGTGGGCTTAGACCAGGATCTGTACTGTAATTGCTCACACCATCAGTGACAGGAGCCGCCCGGTAGCACCTGAACATGCACTTTCTATCTCTCTCCTCTTGCTAATTCATTTCCTCAGTGGGCTCTCGAAGGCTTGCGTGCGTGTGTGTGTGTGTGTGTGCATGTGTGTGTGTGTGTGCGTGCGTGTGTGTGGGTGCGTGTGTGTGTGTGCATGTGTGTGTGTGTGTGCGTGCGTGTGTGTGTGTGGGTGCGTGTGTGTGTGTGTGTGTGCATGTGTGTGTGTGCGCGTGTGTGTGTGTGTGCGTGTGTGTGTGTGTGTGTGTGCATGCGTGCATGTGTGTGTGTGCGTGCGTGTGTATTTCATTATGTTCTGATCCCCCTTGTCTTCGCTGGGTCTCGAGCTGAATGTCTTAATAGTGGTTTTCGATTCTAACGGCGGTGCTCGTCAGGTGGCTCAATTGTCGTCAAGGACAAGTGGCTTAACTGAAAATCTGAAGTGAAAAGACTGAAAACAAAAGAGTTTTTTTAACTAGACATGACTGTAAAATATGATTGACGTCACTTCTGTTGAATCTAATGCCTGGAAACGACACATTATTTTTTACACAGCACTCGCTGGACTATAGCGATGAGGGAAATGTATGTGTTTTTATTTTGTAAGGGCTCCCCCTGGAGGGCAGGAGTGGATCGATTAGCTGTTGGGCTCCGGAGCTGATGGTGAAGCAACCATTCCCTGCTGCCTGGTGTGTTTATGTGAACAGCAGAGAGATGCGACAGGAGAAAATCACAGGACTTGTTTTTATGTGATTAAGGCTGTTGTCAGAGCAGAGTTTATGGACTTAGTATTTTGACTAAGTTAGTAACCCTAACCCTCCATCAAGTTTTATTCAGCGTTCAGACCGGATCATGCGTTGCGTCGACTTTCAATGCAAAGTCTATGGTGACGCGCGTTTGAGCATCGAGCTGCATGTGCGCCTCAGGATGCACTCCAGGACTGCGCGGCAAAGGCGCGGCAGAGACGTACGCTGCAGATAAATATTGCTGAACATTTCCTCGGGACGCTCGTGTAGCGACCAATCAGAGAGCTGCAAAGTGGTCACGGGGACATTAGTGGTCTGAGCGAGCAGACTGAACATACTGTAAACAGCCAAAGCAGGAGCTATACCAGGACTATTCCAGGACTACACCAGGACTAAACCAGGACAATACCAGGACTAAACCAGGACAATACCAGGACTAAACCAGGACTAAGCCAGTACTACACCAGGACTAAGCCAGGACTAAACCAGGACTACACAAGGACTAAACCAGGACTAAACCAGGACTAAGCCAAGACTAAACCAGGACTAAACCAGGACAATACCAGGACTAAACCAGGACTAAGCCAGTACTACACCAGGACTAAGCCAGGACTAAGCCAGGACTAAACCAGGACTACACAAGGACTAAACCAGGACTAAACCAGGACTATTCCAGGACTACACCAGGACTAGACCAGGACAATACCAGGACTAAACCAGGACTAAGCCAGTACTACACCAGGACTAAGCCAGGACTAAGCCAGGACTAAACCAGGACTAAACCAGGACTAAGCCAGGACTAAACCAGTACTAAAACAGGACTACACCAGGACTAAAGCAGGACTATACCAGGACTACACCAGGACTTAACCAGGACTAAACCAGGACTACACCAGGACTAAACCAGGACTAAGCCAGGACTAAACCAGGACTAAACCAGGACTAAGCCAGGACTAAACCAGTACTAAAACAGGACTACACCAGGACTAAAGCAGGACTATACCAGGACTACACCAGGACTAAACCAGGACTACACCAGGACTAAACCAGGGTTGATAATAGGAGACTGTGTGCTTGTGAACATGTGTATATTCATGCTCCCGTGACTTTATGCAACTCGAGTGTGTTCGCCGATGCGGAAGCACCGTTTAATAATAAAATAAACGAATGGCGCACCTCCGTGAACACATACTGCTGTTATATAAAGTCTCCTCCGTGAACACATACTACTGTTATATAACGTCTCCTCCGTGAACACATACTGCTGTTATATAAAGTCACCTCCGTGAACACATACTGCTGTTATATAAAGTCACCTCCGTGAACACATACTGCTGTTATATAAAGTCACCTCCGTGAACACATACTGCTGTTATATAAAGTCACCTCCGTGAACACATACTGCTGTTATATAAAGTCACCTCCGTGAACACATACTGCTGTTATATAAAGTCACCTCCGTGAACACATACTGCTGTTATATAAAGTCACCTCCGTGAACACATACTGCTGTTATATAAAGTCTCCTCCGTGAACACATACTGCTGTTATATAAAGTCACCTCCCTGAACACATACTGCTGTTATATAAAGTCACCTCCGTGAACACATACTGCTGTTATATAAAGTCTCCTCCGTGAACACATACTGCTGTTATATAAAGTCACCTCCGTGAACACATACTGCTGTTATATAAAGTCACCTCCGTGAACACATACTGCTGTTATATAAAGTCACCTTGAACACATACGTCTCCCTCCTCTGCTTCAGTCCCTGCCTGATACCGTTTCCAAGGTAGTCGTGCATGTGGGAATTAACGACATGAAACTTCAGCAGTCAGAAGTCACGAAGAAACATTTTATGGATCTGTTCCACCTCCTTCAATCCTCCGGACTATCTGTTTTTATTTCTGGTCCAATCCAGACTGTAAACAGAGGTGACTGCCTCTACAGTCGTGTTGTGGCGCTGCATGTGTGGCTTCAGGCTACATGCAGCTCTTTTAACTTTGTCTTTGTGAATAACTTTGCCCTTTTCTGGAAACGTTACGAAGCCTATCGTCCAGACGGATTACACCCAAACAGATACGGTAGCAGCCTGTTGATGGATTACATACGTTATGTTGTTCAGTGCTCCCCGAGGGGGGCGTGACTGTTTACATCTGAGCCCCCTCGGACCCCACCGCACTCCCCCGCCTCCTGCTCACCAGCACCGGGTGAGTACAACGGTGCAAACACTGCTCCCTGTCCGTCTGGCAGTGCATTACCAGTCCAAACACTGAACTGTGCTGACTCCCTTCTGACTCTGGGAGCTAAAGAACAACAACAAGGGTTTTCACATTTTAGGCCAATTGAGACTGTGTGTGTTCCTCGCACCAGCTCAAAAATGTTTTTAAATTCTAAAAAACGAAATCAAAACAGGACAGCAGTTAGACGGTCCAACTCTGCAAATCTAATTTCTGTTCCCTGTAGAAATCAATCAACCACATTAATCGACTCTGACGTTATTTTTAAACTTGCTATGCTTAATGTCAGATCTCTATGTAACAAATCATTTTTAATTAATAATTTTATCACTTCTTATGATCTTGATTTTATGCTTATGGCTGAAACATGGCTCGACCAAAATACAGGAAATGCAGTTCTAATAGAAGCAACACCACCCAATTTTAAATTCGAATCCGAAATACGAGAAAACAAAAGGGGGGGAGGCATAGCTGCAGTTTTTAGAGAGCACTTTGTCTCCCATAGAATGCCCCTTGGAAATTTTTCATCGTTTGAGTATATTTCTTTTAAAATGGAACAAAAGCAATCTTCTACTCTTTTCATTGTCCTGTACAGGCCACCACAGTCATGTTGCGATTTTATTGACCATTTTACTGAACTACTTTCATTCGTGTGCACAGATTTTGATAGTTTAGTTATTACAGGTGATTTTAATGTACATGTTGATAATGTTGATGACAGAAATGCAAAGGAGCTGGCTTCTGTATTTGAGACCTTTGGTTTCATTCAGCACGTGAGTGGCCCCACCCCACAGCAGGGGGCACACTCTTGACCTGCTAATTACAAAGGGGGTTAATGTATCAAATGTTAATGTAGTTGATGTTGCTCTGTCAGATCATTTCTGTGTATTTTTTGACATGTGTTTTGCTAGCAAACCACCAGCTGAATTTACAACTGTTAGAAGAAGACACATACATGAAAACACAAGTGAACTGTTCATGGGAATGCTAAATTTTGAGAAAACTCCATGCTCTACTGTTGATGAATTGTATAACTCTGTCACCACCAGTGTTCTGACTGTTCTGGACGCCATTGCTCCTGTGACGGTTAAAATAGTTACCAGTAAGAAAAAGGCCCCATGGACTAAGGCAGACTCGGTTAGGGCACAGAAGCAAGAGTGCCGGAGGGCCGAACGGAAGTGGCGAAAGTCCAATTTCCAGGGCGATTATGAAATCTTTAAAGATGAGTTGGGTGAATTTAACCGGGTTCTACGTAGAACAAGAGAAATGTATTTTTCTGACATTATTGGAGGTTGCAGTAACAATTTTCGTGTTATGTTTTCAACAGTTGGTAGATTAACGAACCCCCCTGTAAAGTTGCCCCTAGAATTTTCCTCTAAATCTAGGTGTAATGAGTTCGCACAGTTTTTCGATGACAAAGTACAAGGAATCAAAAACACTATCACCTCCACAGCACGTATAACAATGCAACAGCCAGAGAAGCTTTTTGAGCTAACTCACTTTGCACCTGTGGATACTGAAACTGTCCAAAAAGATAATCATGAGTCTGAGCTCCTCCACATGTAGCCTGGATATATTGCCCTCTAAATTTCTGAAGTCCGTCCTGAGCAGTTTGTTACCTTCACTGACACAAATAGTAAACATGTCTCTGTCGTCAGGAACATTTCCTATGGCCCTAAAAACAGCAGTCATAAGACCTCTCCTAAAAAAGAGCAGTCTGGATCCTGCGGGACTTCAAAATTATCGCCCCATATCGAATCTGCCATTTATTGGAAAAATTCTTGAAAAAGTGGCCTCCCAACAACTTACTGAATTTTTAACAATGAATAATTCTTTTGATATGTTCCAGTCTGGGTTTAGACCCCACCACAGCACTGAGACCGCTCTAGTGAAGGTAAAAAACGACATTCGACTTCACACTGATGCAGGTAAAGTCACAGTTTTGGTCATGTTAGATCTTAGTGCCGCGTTCGACACTGTCGACCATGAGATCCTCATGCAGAGACTGGAGGACTGGGTTGGTGTCACTGGCACAGCCCTAGACTGGTTTAGGTCTTACCTGGAGGATAGGAAGTACTCTGTGGAGATTGGAGACTGCGTCTCAGATGATGTGGCCCTGACCTGTGGTGTACCACAGGGGTCAATCCTGGGACCTCTCCTATTTAATCTCTACATGCTGCCGTTAGGTCAGTTAATACAAAGAAACAAAGTGTCCTACCACAATTACGCTGACGACACTCAGATCTATGTCTCACTGACTGCAGGAGAACATGGACCACTGGATTTGCTCCTTCACTGTATCCAACAGATCAGTGACTGGATGCAAAATAATTTCCTCCAGCTAAATGCAGACAAAACCGAAATCATTGTCTTTGGTCCCCAGAAACAAAGAGAGGGCGTCATTTGTCAACTTCAGTCTCTCTCCCTACTTCCTTCAGACAAGGTCAGAAATTTGGGGGTAATACTGGACTCAGACCTAAAATTTCAATAGCCACATAAAATCAATAACATCAACAGCTTTTTACCATCTGAAGAACATTGCCAAAGTTAGAAATATAGTGTCCAGGGCAGACTTGGAGATTCTTGTCCATGCATTTGTCTCCAGCAGGCTAGACTACTGCAATGGCCTGCTTACAGGTCTGTCCAAACAGACCTGTAAGCAGCTGCAGTACATCCAAAATGCAGCAGCTAGAGTCCTGACAGGAACCAGGAAGTATGACCATATTAGTCCGGTCCTCAGGTCTCTGCACTGGCTTCCTGTGGCTCAAAGAATAGATTTTAAAACGGCTCTGCTTGTGTACAAGTCTCTCCATGGCCTTGCACCAGAATACATTAGTGACATGTTAGTCCCATATGAACCAGCCCGGACTCTGAGGAGCACAGGGACTGGCCTCCTGCTGGTGCCCAGAGTGAGAACCAAACATGGGGAGGCTGCGTTTCAGATCCATGCAGCTAAGATCTGGAACAATCTCCCTGAAAATGTGAGGGAGGCGTCTACTCTGTCAATGTTCAAATCCAGGTTAAAGACTGTTCTGTTTGCCTGTGCATATAACTGAAGGATTTTATCTCCATTTTTAATGCACTGCTGTCATTTATTTATTTTTTTAAATTTCTTGTGTAATTTTGAAAGTTTTAATGGTTTTATTCTTTTGTGTGATTTTAATGTTTTAATTGTGTTTTAATCTTTTGTGTGATTTTAATGTTTTAATTGTGATTCTGGTGTTTGTTTTATGTGATGATTTGTGATGTGGACTGTGAAGCGCTTTGTGTTGCCCTGTGTATGAAAGGCGCTCTACAAATAAACTTTGATTGATTGATTGATACTGCTGTTATATAAAGTCACCTCCGTGAACACATACTGCTGTTATATAAAGTCACCTCCGTGAACACATACTACTGTTATATAAAGTCACCTCCGTGAACACATACTGCTGTTATATAAAGTCACCTCCGTGAACACATACTGCTGTTATATAAAGTCACCTCCGTGAACACATACTACTGTTATATAAAGTCTCCTCCGTGAACACATACTGCTGTTATATAAAGTCACCTCCGTGAACACATACTGCTGTTATATAAAGTCTCCTCCGTGAACACATACTACTGTTATATAAAGTCTCCTCCGTGAACACATACTGCTGTTATATAAAGTCACCTCCGTGAACACATACTGCTGTTATATAAAGTCTCCTCCGTGAACACATACTACTGTTATATAAAGTCTCCTCCGTGAACACATACTGCTGTTATATAAAGTCACCTCCGTGAACACATACTGCTGTTATATAAAGTCACCTCCGTGAACACATACTGCTGTTATATAAAGTCACCTCCGTGAACACATACTGCTGTTATATAAAGTCTCCTCCGTGAACACATACTACTGTTATATAAAGTCACCGTGAACACATACTGCTGTTATATAAAGTCACCTTCGTGAACACATACTGCTGTTATATAAAGTCACTGTGAACACATACTGCTGTTATATAAAGTCACCGTGAACACATACTGCTGTTATATAAAGTCTCCTCCGTGAACACATACTGCTGTTATATAAAGTCACCGTGAACACATACTACTGTTATATAAAGTCACCGCGAACACATACTGCTGTTATATAAAGTCACCTCCGTGAACACATACTGCTGTTATATAAAGTCTCCTCCGTGAACACATACTACTGTTATATAAAGTCACCGTGAACACATACTGCTGTTATATAAAGTCTCCTCCGTGAACACATACTGCTGTTATATAAAGTCACCGTGAACACATACTACTGTTATATAAAGTCACCGTGAACACATACTGCTGTTATATAAAGTCACCGTGAACACATACTGCTGTTATATAAAGTCACCTCCGTGAACACATACTGCTGTTATATAAAGTCACCTCCGTGAACACATACTGCTGTTATATAAAGTCACCTCCGTGAACACATACTACTGTTATATAAAGTCACCTCTGTGAACACATACTGCTGTTATATTAAGTCACCTCCGTGAACACATACTGCTGTTATATAAAGTAACCTCCGTGAACACATACTGCTGTTATATATAGTCACCTCCGTGAACACATACTGCTGTTATATAAAGTCACCTCCATGAACACATACTGCTGTTATATATAGTCACCTCCGTGAACACATACTGCTGTTATATAAAGTCACCTCCGTGAACACATACTGCTGTTATATAAAGTAACCTCCGTGAACACATACTGCTGTTATATAAAGTCACCTCCGTGAACACATACTGCTGTTATATAAAGTCACCTCCATGAACACATACTGCTGTTATATATAGTCACCTCCGTGAACACATACTGCTGTTATATAAAGTCACCTCCGTGAACACATACTGCTGTTATATAAAGTAACCTCCGTGAACACATACTGCTGTTATATATAGTCACCTCCGTGAACACATACTGCTGTTATATATAGTCACCTCCGTGAACACATACTGCTGTTATATATAGTCACCTCCGTGAACACATACTGCTGTTATATAAAGTCACCTGCGTGAACACATACTGCTGTTATATAAAGTCACCTCCGTGAACACATACTGCTGTTATATAAAGTCACCTCCGTGAACACATACTGCTGTTATATAAAGTCACCTCCGTGAACATATACTGCTGTTATATAAAGTCACTGTGAACACATACTGCTGTTATATAAAGTCACCTCCGTGAACATATACTGCTGTTATATAATGTAAAGCTGCATTATTGGAGGAGAACTATATACGTAAAGCCGCTAGCTTAACTCCGTTAGCATCAAAGTCCGCCCGCTACTTCCGCCACTTCCGCCACTTCCGGCGGGCTCCACTGCAGCAGGACTTCTGGTCTGAAGACCCCTGCGTTTGAATGTTCGTCTGGTGCGCGAGGCGTCAGCGTTCCAGCGTTGGCGGTGTGAAAGCACCTTTAGTTTGATCATCACAGGTCAACCACAAAACACAAGAAGACACATAAATAGAGAGCTGCAGACGCTTCTACCTCTTTCCCACAATAGTCCGATACCACTGGTATAACATGACAGTTCCCTCTGGTCTCTCTCTGGTCTCTCTCTGGTCTCTCTCTGATCTCTCTCTGGTCTCTCTCTGGTCTCTCTCTGATCTCTCTCTGGTCTCTCTCTGGTCTCTCTCTGGTCTCTCTCTGGTCTCTCTCTGGTCTCTCTCATGTCTCTCTCTAGTCTCTCTCTAGTCTCTCTCTGGTCTCTCTCTGGTCTCTCTCTGATCTCTCTCTGGTCTCTCTATAGTCTCTCTCTGGTCTCTCTGGTCTCTCTCTGGTCTCTGTCCAAACTCAAGGTAATTAAAAGTTTAAGTCCTGGTGAATGTAAAATCCATTTGGAGCTAATCCGTCGTGGCTGCTGTGATCTGTTTACCGCAAAGCAGCTGTTTAAATCCACAAATCGCTTTTTTCCTGAATTTGCATCACGCCTTTTCTTTGTGCTTTCCATTCCACCCCAGACTTGTTTTCCATTTAACTTGCTCATTTCCTCTGTGTGTGTGTGTGTGTGTGTGTCTGTGTGTGCGTGCGTGTGTTTTTGTGTGTGCGTGTGTGTCTGTTTTTGTGTGTGTGTGTGTGTGTGTCTGTGTGTGCGTGCGTGTGTTTTTGTGTGTGCGTGTGTGTCTGTTTGTGTGTGTGTGTGTGTGTGTGTGCGTGCGTCTGTGTGCGTGCGTCTGTGTGTGCGTGCGTGTGTTTTTGTGTGTGCGTGTGTGTCTGTTTGTGTGTGTGTGTGTGTATGTGGCGCCCTCAGGTGGATTTCGCCTTCATCGTGTGGCAGAGTTTCCCAGAGAGGATTGTGGGATATCCGGCCAGGAGCCATTACTGGGATAGCTCCCGGTCGCGCTGGGGCTACACGTCCAAATGGACCAACGACTATTCAATGGTGCTAACAGGGGCCGCCTTCTACCACAGGTATTCGGACCAACGCAACACACTGCAAAAAGTGATGAAAAATAAGTCAAAAATTGTTTGAAATTGGCAAAGAAATATATAAGGCAGAATGTGCTCAATTTAAGATTGAGCACATTCTGCCTTAAACCAGATTCTCCAATGGGACAAAGCAAAAATACTCTTGTTTTAAAAAGATACCAGAAATGTGTCCCTTGGAATGTGAAAAAAGCAACAGTTGTTGAAGTGAGCGGACGAAGCCTTTTGCAGGAGACACATGTCTTTGGTTCATTGGAGCCATTAAGTTTCCCCCTCATCTCTCTCTCTCTGCGCAGGTTCTATCACTACTTGTTCACTCAGTATGTCCCGGTGAACCTGCTGCAGACCGTGGACCGCATGGCCAACTGCGAAGACATCCTCATGAACTTCCTGGTGTCGGCGGTTACTAAGCAACCACCGATTAAAGTCACTCAGAAGAAGCAGTACAAGGAGACCATGATGGCACAGGTACTTATGCTAAACTACACTGGTGCTCTGTCTCCCCCCTCTCCCTTGTCTTCACCCTTCCCCCCTCCCCCCCTTCCTCTCCATCTCCCCCTCTCCTCTGTCGCCCCTGTCACCCCCTCCCCCATCTCCCCTCTCTCCCTTGTCCCCCCAGCTCCCCCCTTCTTCCCCCATCTCCCCCCCTTCTCCCCCCTCCTCCCCCGTCTCCCCCCTCTCTCTCCGTGTGGATTGTCCTTTTACACAGGTTTTGTGGTCAGCTCTTGGTGATTGATGGTCTGACCGCAGCAGCACGATGACTCTGCACCATGGAGCCTGTGATTAATGTCTTAATGTGAAACCAGCAAACCAGCAAACTAAACCAGAAAACTAAACCAGCAAACCAGCAAACTAAACCAGCAAACTTAACCAGCAAACCAGCAAACTAAACCAGTAAAGCAAACCAGGAAACTAAACCCCTTTCTCGGTACGGGAAAGGGGTTTGTGGCTGAGTGGGTAGCACTCTCGCCTCTCAGCAAGAAGGTCCTGGGTTCGAATCCCGGTCGGACCAGGGCCTTTCTGAGTGGAGTTTGCATGTTCTCCCCGTGTCTGCGTAGGTTTCCTCCGGGTACTCCGGTTTCCCCTACCACTAAAAATATGTCCAATAGTTCTGGCATGCGCTTCCTGTACTGGTGACCCTGCTCCCATCTCTGTGTGGAGTGAGAGACAAATGCCCAAAAATGAAGCTCTTCGCGAAAGTTCACTGTGGTAGACCCGGCCACTGCTGCCAGATCTACAAGCCTGCTCATCCTCTACTCATTACACCAGCAAAACGCCCACATCTAATCCACCAATAACCACCAGGACAGCAAGTTAAAAGCCGGGGACGCCCACTTCCCGGCCTTCTGAAGTTTGCAAACTTCTGAAGCCTGCAAGGTGCATGTCGCTAACGCACCTGTTCGCAAATGCATGCGTTGTTCTGGAGGGGTCGCTTCTGCTCACGTGTTGCTCGTGCGCGTGGCCCGGCTGTCCTCAGTCTGGCTGCTCGTGGTCTGCTCCTCCTCCGCGTCCCTGCACCTGCTGTGGTTCGCATATCCCCACTGCTCTCCTCCTCTGCGGGCTCTTCTGCGGGCTGCTCCGCGGGGCCCCTCCGCGGGGCCCCTCTGCAGGTTCTGTGCTGCTTGTTCCTCGTGGTCTGCTGCCGCGCGCAGACGGTCAGGCGGTGCCGTGCGTGTCCCTGCCTCCGACTGGCGGTGCCGCGTTGTCCCGTTGCTTTCCCACGTCTCCTGGCATGTGAGTACAGTGAGTGTGCCGACCGCGGACAGTTTAATCCCGGAGTCTAGGCTGCAGGCGGCTGGTTTTTGCCCTACGCACTTGACTGCAGGCGCCAGTCTTCGCCCGTGCTTGGTCTGCAGGCTCCGTTTTACACGTGTTGAGCTAACTGAGGGACAATGCATCTTAAATGGCATCCATCTCCAATGTCTGAGGGATATAAGAGGAGCAATGTGCATTAATTCAGATTCATGTTCTGCCACTTGCAGTAAAACCACGTTGGAAAAAATGTGCAAAGTCTACCCCATCGTGCTCCAGACGGCACACACCAGAACTCTTTACATCATCTTTACAGCATTAATCTCATTACTCGCAGGTCACTATTGTTAAATGAATGTATTTAAATTCGTCTATCTGCAGGAGGAAGGAGGGGCCATGCATTTAAATAGCTAGGTCACTAGTATTAAACTGGTAACTAAACTGCAGCTGTTGCATTTCGAAAGTGCAGCAGAAAGAAAAGGGGCCCAATGTGAATCTGCAATGGGTGTGAATTGGTGTTGGAGCTGATGAACGCGTGGAAAAGTGATCGTTCATGCGTATCTGCCATAACCAAAGCAGCAAGATGGCTCCAGGGGACATCTGTTTTTCGAATGGGAATGTTTCGGATTCGGGTTGATTTATTTCCTCAGGCTCTTAAACAACCATGGGCATGGTTCTCTGACCGCCGCTGCTGCGGTCCCTGCTGCCGTTCCTACTGATGCCTGATCCCGCTGATGCCTGTTCCCGCTGCTGCCTGTTCCTGCTGCCGCTCCTGCTGCTGCCTGTCCCTGCTGCCTGCTCCTGCTGCTCCTACTACTACAAGTGCCGCTGCTGCTGTTCCTGCCGCTGCCGCTCCGCGGGCTCCCAGGCTGCACCTGTCTCTACGGCTCGGCTCTTTCAGACACGTATGTAACCTGGCTCACGGAGACAAGCGGCGCACGCTGGCGTGACACGTCTGCTGTTCGTATGAATCGCATTGTGCTGCTGCTGCTGCTGCTAATGCTGCTTCTGCTGCTTCATACTGCTACCGCTACTGCTGCTATTGCTGCTACTGCTGCTACTGCTACCGCTACTGCTGCTACTGCTGCCGCTAATGCTGCTATTGCTGCCGCTGCTGCTTCATACTGCTACTGCTGCCGTGCTGCTGCTGCTTTACTTTGACACCTCTCTTCACTTCGCATCTCTTTTACTGAAACACTAAACAGCTTCAACAATATTCTACTGCGGTGGCTTTGATACAGGATTATTGCTGTTATTATCTACGGATGCTGCAACCGCTGCTACAGGATTATTGCTGTTATTATCTACGGATGCTGCTGCTGCTGCTGCTGCTGCTTCATACTGCTACTGCTGCTGCTGCTTCATACTGCTACTGCTACTGCTGCTGCTTCATACGGCTACTGCTGCTACTACTGCTGCTGCTGCTTCATTTACTTTGCCATCTTTCTTCACTTGCATCTCTTTTACTGAAACCCTGAACAGCTACAACAACATTCACTACTGTGGCTTTGATACAGAATTATTACTGTTATTTTCTAAGGACGCTGCTGCTGCTGCTGCTGCTGCTGCTGCCGCGGCTTGATACAGGACTATTGCTGTTATTATCTGAGGTTACTGCTGCTGCCGCTGCTGCTACTGCTACTGCTGCAACCCACTCTCTCAGAAGCTTATCCTGCTTCTAATGGACGCTGCCCGGCTGAGTATGCCGCGCTGCGCTGGACTCGCACCTATGCTCCCAGGGTCACTTCGGCGGTCGTGCTTCATCTCTCTACTTAATCTTCTGATCCATCAGATGCAGCTGGCCGAGTAGCTGCGCTGAGCCGTCAATCGGACTCCTAATCAAAGGCATCCATACCTGTATTCTTCACTCTTCTGATCGCAGGCTCCCCGTCATGCTGCCCATCCTGCAGCGGCGCTGAACTCCGGCTCATCTTCCAAGTACATGTCTGCCCTCCTCGCAGCATCTTCCTGCTCGCCTTCTATGGCTTCTCTGCATAAGCGTTTCACCACTGCTCACTCAACCTTCATGCGGTCCGAGACACGGCTTTCCCGACCATCCTACTATCCTGATTATCTACTCTCCAACCCAAGATTCTAAGCGTAAGGGCGCCTGCAACATCAATGGCCCTCTCCGATATGTCTCTGCCCCTACAGGTCTCCGCTTCTACACGGACGCTGCCCCTTCCGTGGGTTTTGGGGGATTCTTCCAGGACCATTGGTTTGCCGAGCGTGGCCACTACTTTCCACCGGAGCATCTCTTCTGCCCTACACGAGATATTCCCAGTGGTCGTGGCCTGCGCGCTGTGGAATCACACGTGGCAGAGAAAGAGGATCTCTGTCATGTGTGATAATCTCGACGTAGTGGAAGCATTACACAAAGGTCGCTCTTTTTCACCCAACATAATGTCCCCTGACCATTTCAACCTCCGTCTCAAACATTCAAAAATCAAAGGAGCCTGCAATATAGTAATAGCTCGCTCGGACACATCTCTCTGCCCCTACAAATCCATGATGCGTTACACTCGCCTCCGCTGCAAAAAGGAGATTTTAACGGACCTGTCTTTCTCACTCCAGACATTCTTCCCATGACAGCAACCTGGTTCAGAGCTCAACTAAGATCCCTACTGCTCCTCTGTAAATTTGTCTCCCCAGCTCTACACAGCTCACTCCTTCAGGATAGGCGCTGCCACGCGCGCGGCCTCGCTGGGGCTCCCCCACACCTCTCTGCAACAGCTGGGGCGCTGGTCCTCTTCGGCCTTCTCCGCCTACATCAGGCCAGACGCGTCCGCCATCCTGGCTGCACAACGGCTACTGGCTTCTTCGTAAGCTCCCAGCAAAGCAATACAAAGCAAAGTAAGTGAACCAATAGGATTTCTGGTGGCGGCACGCACTTCTAAAGATAACTCTGCTACAGCGTCTGGTACCGATCGTGATGCGAGCGCTCACGTCCCAGACAGCGTCCGGTTGATCGTGATGCGAGCGCGCACGTCCCGGCGCTCAAAGATAACTCTGCTACAGTAACTCTGCTACAGCGTCTGGTATCGATCGTGATGCGAGCGCTCACGTCCCAGACAGCGTCCGGTTGATCGTGATGCGAGCGCTCACGTCCCGGCGCTCAAAGACAACTCTGCTACAGCGTCTGGTATCGATCGTGATGCGAGCGCTCACGTCCCAGGCAGCGTCCGGTTAAATCGTGATGCGAGCGCTCACGTCCCGGCGCTCAAAGACAACTCTGCTACAGCGTCTGGTATCGATCGTGATGCGAGCGCTCACGTCCCAGGCAGCGTCCGGTTAAATCGTGATGCGAGCGCTCACGTCCCGGCGCTCAAAGACAACTCTGCTACAGCGTCTGGTATCGATCGTGATGCGAGCGCTCACGTCCCAGGCAGCGTCCGGTTAAATCGTGATGCGAGCGCTCACGTCCCGGCGCTCAAAGACAACTCTGCTACAGCGTCTGGTATCGATCGTGATGCGAGCGCTCACGTCCCAGGCAGCGTCCGGTTAAATCGTGATGCGAGCGCTCACGTCCCGGCGCTCAAAGACAACTCTGCTACAGCGTCTGGTATCGATCGTGATGCGAGCGCTCACGTCCCAGGCAGTGTCCGGTTGATACTGCACATGGCTAATAAAATGAATCTGAATCTGAGAGGGGCTGTCTGGTTGAACTGGGCATCAGTCTTACAAGATTACTAAAAAGTGTCAATTTTATAAGACGAGCTGAAACATGAGTGGACTTTACGACATCCAAGTAGCCCAGTGGTCAGAACTCCACATTTATAACTGTGGTTACACTGCCTTGAGGATTGGTGATCATGGCAATGATGACACCTTCCCGGGGGTCCTCTGCGTTGCCTGCAGTTCCTGCCCGGCGGGGGTGGTTAGATCTTGTGTGGTGGTGGGTTCTTTGGGCTTGCTGGAGGCTGGAAGCTGTGTAGACATTGTTGTAAGCTTCACAGATTGCCTTTATGGCCTTGATCCATTTCTTTTTCCAGTCAAGTCCTCACGTTTG